TAGAAACCAGAATAGTGGGCACTTTCAGGGAAAAGCTTCTGGGGTGGCCGGGCAACACTCTCTCTTGACCTGGCTGTGTTTGCAGCGGTGTCCACATTAGGATCATCCACCACAACATACACTGTTCTTGGAGGTTTTTGGTACGTGCTCTTTTTTTTTTTTAAAGATGACCGGTAAGGGCATCTTAACCCTTGACTTGGTGTTGTCAGCACCACGCTCTCCCAAGTGAGCTAACCGGCCATCCCTACATAGGGATCCAAACCCGTGGCCTTGGTGTTATCAGCACCGCACTCTCCCAAGTGAGCCACAGGCTGGCCCTGGTACGTGTTCTACTTAGCAACAAAAAGGAAAGGGGAGCACAAAGGCCAAGCGATGGGAGAGAAGCAAGGCTGGCACAGGTGCATGTGAGCAGCCCGGCCACAAGCTGGGGGAAGGCACGTGGGGATCCACAGACTCATTCTGTTTACTTCCATATATGTTTAAAATGTTCCATATTCAAAAGTTTTCTTTAGAATGACCAGCCACATTTGAAAAGAAATCAAACAGAATATTCAAAAATGAAAAATGTATCCACTGAAATAATAGAGAGACTCAGGGAGAAGTAATATTTAAAGAGATAATGGCTACAAATTTTCCAGAAATGATATGCAGGTCTGAAGTTCAGAATCTGCAGATAAAGAAAGCACAATTTACAACCAGATAGGATTAAACAAAGTGTATTAGTCCGTTTCTGTTGCTTAAAATAGAATATGTGAAACTGGGCAATTTATAAAGAAACAAAATTTACTTCTTACAGTTTTAAGGCTGGGAAGTCCACGGCCCAGAGAACATTTTTTTATCTGATAAGGGCCTTCTCCAGAGTCCCATGACAGCGAGGGTATTGCACGGTAAGAAGGTCAAGAGCAAGGCAGAGCTAACCTGCTCACTTGCTCTCCTTCTAAAGCCATCAGAACCACACCCACAACAACCCATTAAAACCACTAACCCATCAACCCATTACTCCATGAATGGACCAACCCATTCATGAGGGCACAGACCTCACAATCCAATCACCTCTTAAAGGCCCCAGCTCCCACCACCATACTGGGGGGTAAGTTCCAATGTGAGCTTGGGGGATGTTCAAACCACAGCACAAACCATGAATCCACACCTGGACAAATCAAACAGAAACTGTAGGACTCCAAGACAACAGATGGTTTTTTCTTTATTTTATTTTATTTTATTTTTTTCCTTTTTGGCTTTTTTCGTGTCCGGCAACGGATCGCAACCCTCAGTGTCGCCCCCGTACCGGACCGGGACCGGCAACGGGATCGCAACCCTTGGCGTCGCGTCCGCACCTCGCTCAGCCAGTGAGCGGGAACCGGTCTGTATGTGGGATCTGAACCCTCGGTAGGAGCGCCGCCGCGCTCCCAAGCGGCACACTGTAGCAGTGTGCCACCGGGCCGGCCCTTTTCTTTATTTTAGCTAACACATTGTAATTGTACATACTTACGGTGTACAATCTGACATTTTGATACATATATATGTTGTATAACAATCAGGTCAGGGTAGTTAACGTATCAAACACCTGATGCATTTATCATTTCTTTGTGGTGAAAATATTCAAAAGCCTCTCCTCCAGACATTATGTAATATACAAAACTTAACTGTTAACCACAGTCACCCTACTGTGCAACACAACACCAGAACTTATCCTTCCTATCTAAGTGCAATTTTGTACCCATTGGCCAGCCTCTCCCTGTTTTCCCTCCTTCCCTCCCCTCCCCAGTCTCCACTGTTCTACTCTCTGCCTCTATAATATCAATCTTTTTTTTTCTTGTTAGATGCCACATATGAGTGAGGTCATGTGGTATTTGTCTTTCCAAACAGAAGATCTTAAAAACAGCCAGAAGGGGAAAAAAATATATATCATCTACACAGGAACAACAATTAGAATTATGATCAAGTGGTAAGCAGCAATAACCGAAGACAGAAGACTGTGGCTAGAAGAAAGGAACCATCATTCTTAAAAACACAGATGAAACAAAGGCATGTTTCAGACAATTCTCAAGTCAGACAATTCTTGAGCAGTGATCGAACTTGGTTCTCAGTCTATATCCACATTGGTTGGTAAGTATTACAACTATTTTTTAAAAGATGCACTAGGCGGCTGAGCCCGTGGCGCACTCGGGACAGTGCGGCACTGGGAGCGCAGCAGCGCTCCCGCCGCGGGTTCGGATCCTATATAGGGATGACCGGTGCGCTCACAGTGCTCACTGGCTGAGCGCGGTGCGACTGGTCTCAAAAAGGACAAAAAAAAAAAAGATGCACTAGGAAAAATAAAAAAAATAAATAAAAGATGCACTAGGATAATTCTGAAAAACACACACCCTAAGTGTACCTCTGGGATTGTTTAAATGTTCCAGTACCAGAGGGATTGGAATAGCTCACAGCACCAGGATTAAACCAACATTACAACTTTTTTGATGGCTTTGCCCCAAGCTGTTTCAATCCGTAGCCTCCCTTTCCTGCATCTAACTATCAGAATAGTTTTAAAAAACATAGCTGTGGCTTGTTCAGTGCTCACCATGTGCAGGTGCTACACAACCACATGAGGAGGCCCTCGTGCCCCTTGCAGACAAGGATATTGAGGCCCAGGGAGGTACAGCCACTTACCCAAGGCACAAAGCCCAGTGAGTGGTAAAGCATGAACCCACACTCATGCACCACTCGTTAGAAATGATTACCAAAGGGCCGAGCCCGTGGCGCACTCGGGAGAGTGCAGCGCTGGGAGGACAGCAGCCCTCCTGCCGCGGGTTTGGATCCTATATAGGGATGACCGGTGCACTCACGGCGCTCACTGGCTGAGCATGGTGTGGCCGGTCTCAAAAAGGACAAAAAAAAAAAAGAAATGATTACCAAGAAACAAAACCCTTTTTTTTTTTTTTGTCTTTTTTGTCTTTTTCCGTGTCCAGCAACGGATCGCAACCCTCAGTGTTGCCCCTGTACCGGACC